CAAATAAAAATTACAGAAACTCAAAAAAAAAAAAAAATGGATGAAGCCCAAAAGAAGAAAAAAGAAGGTGGAGGAGGTGGTGTGCGCAAACACATTTCGCATTGCTATGATTCATCTTCCGTTTTGTTGATTTTTCTATCATTATTTTTATTATTATTATTTTTTTGTTTGCCTCCACTTCGGGTAGGCAGCCACTGTGTGAGCCACCACGCTGCTCTCTCTCTCCTTCCCTCATAAATACGCAGAGTCCCAATCCACCCCCCCCCCCCTCCCCTCCTCAGTCAAATTGCGCTCTGGATCCCCACTCCCAGTATTAATCCCTAAGCCACTCACTTTCTGCCCCCGTCTCCCTCAGTTTTACCTTTTTGCTTTTTATTCCGTCCTTCTTTTGCTCTCCTTCTTTATTCCTTTCTTTACCTCCCTCGCCGCGTATGTGCGCGTGTCGTCTTGTTTAATTCCCATTTTTTTGTTTTCGTTTCGTGTTGTGTCGTTCCGTTTTCGTTTTTTTCGTCACGTTTTCTTCGTCTTTCGCAGCCGCCCGCACCGAACGTGCGCGTCGCGCCGTGGGAAGACAACGGTAACAGACATAAGGAAGTAGAGAGCAAGAAGGACGGTTGTGCCTCCGTAGCGGGCAACCACACACGAGCGTAAAGATAAGGAGGGGGAGAGAAAGTAAAAGAGAGAACCGCAAACGAACAAAACGAGGAAAAAAAAACTGTAAAAAGGGAGAGGCTTAGAAAGATATATATATCTTAAAAGAGTGGAGGGAAAGAGGAGGGGGGAGAAGGAAGGAAGGAAGGAAGGAATACGAAAATGACTGCTAACAGAGCGGTGGTGAAGGTACCGCTCTCACACAAATCGTACAACTCACACATGTATGCATGTATATATACACATCTATGTATACTTGTGTACACGGCGAGATATATATATATATATTAGTTTTTTTTTTTAAAAAGGGAGGGGGTGGGAAAATAGAGAGAAAAAAGGACATAATAATAATAATGAGAACAGAAGGAAGAAAAAAAAAATGGGGAAAAGGGCCAGAAACACACATGCACACATGCACAGGGCTCCTTTGGTCACCCAGACATATGTACGTCGTACACATCCACCACACACACCTCCTCTCTCTCTCTCTCTCTTTTGCTTTACTCGTCCTCATCACTTTGCCTCAATCGTGCGTTCTCTCTCTCTCTCTCTGTGTATGTGTGCGTCTCTCTTAAGCGTGGTCCACTTTGTTTTTATTGCCTCGTCACTGGATTTGTCTTTTCTCTTGCACTTTTGTTGTTGCTATTGTTTTTTTTGTTTTGTTTTGCGGTTAATCGTGAAGGGAAATACCACCTGTCTTGATGGCACGTATTTGCTTTTCCCCTCACTCCCCTTCTTGTTTCCTTCCTCATTACTTCAATTGATTGGGCGTCGCCAACCATCACTCCCGCCCCTTCCACACGAACTCGTCGCCTGGCAACTCATAAAACCTTTTCTTCTCTCACACACACACAGAAGCACACTGAACGGCAGAAACCAGTAGAGGTGGCAATGGATGTTGCCGCGCCAATTTTTGCTTCTATTTATCGTGAAGTTGTTCTCGTATCTCTCTCTCTCTGTTTCGTTTCTCAGCAGTACTTGTTGGAATCCATTGAATTGCATTTGTCCTTCTCCTTTCCCTTTTGTTTTTCTTTGTTTGTTTGTCTCACGTCCTCATTCGTCGTGGCCGTTCGCTGCGCACGGCCGCATTCCCCGTATCACCGGTGCAGATCTCCACTTACACACTCGCTAACTAATTGTGCCCTTCACTGCCGCGTGCCTGCCAGCATGATGGTGGCCGTGAGGGTAATGACTGCCGTTGCCGCCCGCGCCCCGCACACCACCGTTGCCGCCACTGCCATTATGCTTGACCACGGCTCCACTGTTGTTGTTGTTGTTGTTGTTGTTGTTGTTGCCACCACCGCTGCTATTGCCGTGGTTTTTCGCACCGCAGCCGCCCATGTTGTTTTTGACAGCATTGGTGCTGGAGCCGCCCAGGATGTTGTTGGATGCGTTGGTTTGGTTGGCCTTAAAACGCACGTCGTAGATGCGCAGCGCGCGTGTCACAGGCTGCAAAATTGCGTGTGACTGCCCCCCTTGAAGAAGGGCACCTGCAGCAATAGGCGAGTCCGCGCCACTCTGCCCGTTTGCTGCGATTCCAGGAAAAAGCATACGGCAGCTGTTTGCGGCGCTGTTTGTGGCATTGGTGTTGTTAGTAACTTTGCTCTCCGCTGTTATTTTCCCTGCAGCAAACATCGGTGATGACGCACTGCCGCCTACAAGCGATGACGCCGCACTGCCGCCACAGATCAATGGGCTCTTGTGCGGAGCCACACTCTGGGATTCACTCCAAGACTGCGGCAAAACGGCATGTCGCTGCTGTTCGCAGATGGCACGAAATTCCCCGTCCGTGACCTCACCCACAGCGAGCTGCGTCGTGGCGTAGCATGTGTCACCAACCGTGATGGTGCGTGTTGCAGGAGTCACAGTGGACAACACCGCCATTATATGTGACGGGGGCTGAAGCCGCAGCTCACACTCGCGGCAGATGTGTATGTTATTGCAGTCCTCTAAGTAGCGGCAACGATGAGAAAGATGCAGACGACAGATAAGTTTAGCAGGAAGATCCAAGACTAACTCTCGATCGTCGGTATCGTTGGCTGTGGGTTTGCCAGTGTTTGTATCTGTTTCCCCCGCAGTGTCCCCGGCATCTACTGGCCGGGTGTTGCCTTCTTCTTTTGAGAACGGTTGGGAATTGTGCCGCTTCTTTGGCGGAGGCACACTGTGTGCCATAAAGCGCAGCAGCCCCACCGTTTGAGCCACACGTTTTGTAGGAATCAAGTCGCTTGCGTCATTGTCATTGTCCCCACTCGTGGAGTTACTGTTGCCGTTGTTGTTCACAACGCGAATGTACTTAAAACGACTTGTCAGGACAGATGTGTCGTTTGGATCGTCGTGCAATCGACAGCACGTCGGCGCATGTAGCGCCTCATGGCGTAGCTGCGGGATGGCGCAGGGAAGTACATGCGCCTGCCTGCACCACTGGTGACGACAACGCCCCTCCAAAAATGAGATGCAAAGGGAAGGCACAGTCCCTGTGGTCGCTGTGGCTTGAGTGGGTACAAGCTGCGAGAGTGGCACGCGCAGCTTGCGCGTGAGCGGATCAAGCACCCAAATCCATTTATCATCCTCAGTAGTCGGCTCAGCAGGATCCTTGCGCACATGCACCTCCCCATCGTCATTGCCGCCGCTGTTCATGACGATATTGTTGCTGGTATAGTTGCTCTCCAAGGGGCCGCCTTGAATGGACGCCTTGGCTGAGCTGCTCGTTGAGTTGGGCAAAAAAACACTGCTGCCGCTATTGTTGTTGCTGGCGTGCAGGACAGTGCCTTGGCCATCGTCGGTGGTGTTCCATGCTGCTCGTGGCTCACTGACAATGGAAGGCCCGTAACTTAACTCGGGCATAGTGATATCTCTCCTTATTATTTTGTTTTTGTTTTTCGTTATGTTGTTGTTCCCTTGCTGGGTCTCCTGTTTCTATTTGCCTCCCGCTGCTGCTGCTGTCGGTGCTCCGCTTCCCGCCTCTCTTCTGTAATGGATGCTCCTGTGCACGTGGAGGGAAAAAATGTTGCTGCCGATATATGTTTTTATTACTTTTTCTCTCTCTCGTTCTCCACTGCCGCCTTTTCCTTCTCTTCCTCCCTCGTGTCTCCTGCCTCCGGCTACCGTCGCCGGTTTGATGACAACTCCGCGTATCCCCACCCGCGAGGGTCAAAGCCTGTTGTGCCTTGTATGTTTTATTTTATGCGGCCCTTTTCGTCCTTTTCTGTTGTTGTTTTTCTTTAATGTGTCTCTTTTTCTTTTCTTTTTGATTTGTTCAGGCTGTCGCTATAGCCCCTACGGCACACATATACACAAAGAAAGAAAGTGTGTGAGAGAGAGAGAGACGCACCGAGTGCGAAGAGGGAAAGAAAGTCATGAGGAGAAAAAAAAAGGGGTGCGAGGCAAACACGTTATTTGCGTGTTCATTGAGTTATATGGGTTTTATTGATGCTGCTACTTTGCAAGCAAACTGGCATGAGTCAAGAGCGGTGGTGATTCACACTGCGTATGGGAGGGAGAAAGAGAGCGACGTCGAGGGTGGGGCAATACGTGCGGGTTGGCGTCGGCTCCGCCCTCCCACTCGCCCCTTTTTTCCTCCCGCGTGGCGGTTGGCCGCAGCAAGGCGCATGCCACACATGCACGGGAGCACTACACACGCACACACGCATAGGGGGGAAAGCAAGCCTGCGGGGATACACCATGAAAAGAAAAGACACAAATCGCTGCGGTGTACCGCCCCTTCCTTCGCCACTTACATAAGACGAGCAGCGGAGACGCGACTGTGGACCCCCCTTCCGCTCCCTCACTTGTTAGTGTTCTCAGTTGTTTTTTTTTAAGTTTTTCTTTTCTAGGTACGTGTGTGTGTGTGTGTGTATGCTTCCTTGTTTGTTTCTTCTCTTCTCGTCGCTTGTCGTTCTTTTTTCTTCTTCTCCCTTTGTTTCCTCCATTGCGCATCTTTCGTGAAACCGCCTTCCGTACATCACCCACCCCGCTACTTGTCTTTTACCTGCTTGCGTGACTGCGTTTGGAGAGAAGGGGAAGGAGGTAGCCAACACACGCGAGTGTTTCCGCACACACCCATACACAACTCCATCGTCCTTCTCCACATACACAAACCACTACAACATCACAGCCTGCTGCGCCTGTGCGGCAGATATATTGTGCAGCATCCGCTCCTTCACGATGAGGTGTGAGGCCTTGTCCAGGAGCGCAACACTGCGCTCCACCGCCTCGTTCCAGCCGTTGATGACTTCCGTCGCGTTTTTTTTCGCTTCAAAGACCACCAGACCGTCCACGCGGTCCATCTTCGCGTAGAGAGTCTTGGAAGCCACCATCATCATGAGGAACTCCTCCGTGTGTTCCGGGGTAAGGCCAACCAGCTGGGCGAGGCGGTCTAGGCGCAGACGACGGTAGAAGCGAGAGACGACGAGCAGGTCGTGCTCGCTACAGCGGCTTCGCAGTAGCAGCTGACGGTCCTCGTGACCCGCAAGTTCCGGGTGATTTTCGCAAAGCGTCTCCACTTCATTGGTAACCTTCTCGCGGATAAGCTCAATGCTGGTAAACCGCTGCAGCAAGTACTGCAGTTGCGGGATATCCTCCAGCTGCTTCTGCAGCGCCGTGGTGATGCCCTGAATGGCGGCATTGCGCTCGGCAAACTTCGTGGCAGGTGAAAAGGCGGTGCATTCCGCAAGATCCTCCAACGCCTTTGGGGTGGCGTGCTCGGCAATAAGATAGTTCACCGCCATGCTGCTGAGAGCAGCGAGTTTGGCGGCCTCCGCGGTCTCTGTGAGGTACGTCTCATACCAGCAACGCGCCACGTTGAAGTATGACTGACGCTGTGTATAGTACCGGCGCATGAGTGCAAAATAAGTCAACTTGGCGTCTTGTGATTCTGGACGCGCCAACGCTCGGTGATTGATACGCCGTGAGACAAGCGGTGTATGCTCGTAGTCCTCCAACTCCAGGCAGAGCCGAATAAGCCGATTGAGCGCCTCAAGCTTTTCTACACGTGGCATGTTGGTGATAGTTTCAACATGTAGACCCCTCAGCAAGTCACACGCCGCACGCTTCTGTCCCTCGCTTTCCATGAGTTTTGCGAGATCAATGGCAAAGCGTACGTGCTCGAGCTCCACGTGAATCTTGCTGTCTGTCAGGTGTACAACCCGCTCAAGCACCTCCCTGCGGCGCTCCTTCGACAGCGAGCCGTCGGTCAGCATCACCGCACACTCCGCAATCATTGCGCTTTGCGTCAGCTTCGTCTGCCCACGCTTCCGCATGAGTATCTCAAGCACATCCAACATCTTGGCATAATCACCTTGCACGCGATACACGCGGATCACCTCCACCGCGAGCCGCTGGGTGGAAATCGCATCCCCACCGAGACGAGCAATCTTCTCAAGAGCTAGTAGCTCATCAACAAGTTCGTTTAGGCCCTTGTTGGTGCTACGCAGGAGCACAGGGATAGTGGTGGCATTGACCCTCTCAAGGAGGGCTGTGGCTGCTTCGCTATGGTCCTCCACTTTTTTAAAGCTGGCCCCTCTCCACTCATCTACGTCTGCCATGCCTTCTGCTTCTTCTCAGGGTAAACGTCTCTGTGTGTATATATTATATGACAAATAAGTCTGTGTGTATCTACCTGTTGGCCGCCTCTGTGATGCTGTTGATGTTCTGTTTCTTCCTCGTTGCACCGGTTTCCTTCCCGCAAGGTGTTTGCGTAAGCCGGTGTTCTGCCTCGGCTCACTCACCTATTATCCTACTCTACTCTCCTATTTTTGTTGTGATTTGATTGCTTGCTTGCTTCTCGTTGCGTGCAAACAGAGTCACTGGGGATCCTTCAAGAAAGCAGAAGAGGCGAAACAAGGCAGAGAAGGTTCCCCCATAGTGGATGCAAAAAGAAGCGGGTGCGGTGCCTCACGCACACCACGAACAAGTGCACATGCCCATGCAAATAAGTCTCATTTGTCGTTGTTTTTCTTTTTTCGATTATTTAAACTTAAATGACATCCGCTGGGGATTTTTTCTTTTTTTCATGAGTGCGTGCGTGCTTTTAAACGGAAGAAGTTTGAAAGGGTCCCTGTATAGTGGGAGGCGCAGCAGTTTGGGGCGCCTCGCGTAGCCCTCTGTCAAGGCAAAGTGGGAGGGAACTTTTGAGCGGTCCTCAACGTTTTTTTTTCTTTCGTTTCCTCTCCTTTCTCCCTTTTTATGCTCTCGCCTTGTTTTGCTTTTGCCTTTAGTTGCCCTTGAGCGGGGAGGAGGCCGCTACGTTTCCTCCGTGCCCTAATGAGTGCGTTCAGCGGGCGGCGGCGGCGGCGGGGTGTACCAGGGCGGACTCGTACTCCGTGAAGGCAGCATTCGCGTGCGCTTGCTGTCCCCGCAGCATCCAATCCGGCACCAAAGGAGGCGCTGCAGTCACCTCCTCACTCTGCAGGAGGTGTGCCCCTTCCCCTTCCCCATCGCTGCGGCTAGCGTCCTGTTGTCGCAGGGGGGCAACGGCCTGGAGGTGACGCAAGGCCTCCCTCACAACCGCACTGTGCTCGTTGTGCCTCCACAATAAATGCTGCGTCCATGTATTGGGGGCATATTTGGTGCGCAGCGCACGCTCCACCCGCAACTCCGCTGGCGCGTTAAGAAATTCGGCCTCCGCTGCATTTACCTCTTCGTTCGCAGTGGGGTCGCCGCTGCTATACGCCGTCCTGTGATTTGTTGCCTCAGCGCCAAGCACATGGTTAGCCAGTCGACTGCGCACGACGCTCTCAAGCAGAAGCCGCCCACGTGCGGTGTGGTTTACTATCAAGTGGCCCGTCGCCCGTGAGGCCCGCAGCAGCAACGCAGTGACCGCCACGTCCTCAGGCGAGAGAAGCGCGCCCACCTGACGAGCAAGTGTGATGATGTGCAGCGCCACGTCCGTAACAGCGGTGACCGCCGTTCCGTAGAAGAGATGTGCCACCTCGCTTGGTTGCGTGGAGACGCGGAGGGCGCCAGCGACGTGGCTGAAGAGCAGCCGAAGGCCTTCTTGGCTGAACAGCCGAAGCGCTCGTCGGAGGTGCCGCGGGTTCCAAGTGACGGCAAATGGTGCGAGACCCCCCACGGTGTTATTCGCCCCGTCCAGCAAATACTTCAAGCCTCGCGTGGCATTATGCCACTGTTTCACCAGCCGCGTATGCACAAAGGGCGCGGTCTCAATAGCCAGTACATTCACAACAACATTGCTGCTGCCGCCGCTGTTGTTTTCCCTTGTTGCTTTTTGCTGCGAAAGCGACGCTGCTAACGCGTAGTGCAGACGGATGGGCTCCCACTGCCCCCCAGATGAAGAATGGGTAAGCAAGGCCAACCCCCTCTGGAAGTCGGCGGCAGTATTCTCATGGCTGCCGTCATTGTTGTTGATGTCATCCTCGTTATCACCGTCATTATCGTCCGAACCCAGCGCCCCCGCCGGCGCGACAGTGGGAAGGGCGGTGCTGCACGGCTCCGGAAGGGAACGCCATGTTGCGTTCCGGAATACCTCCTCCGGATATGGCCCCTCCTGCAACGGCAGCTCTGCATACTCCAGACAACTCCACCACGAGGACTCGCTGCTGCTCACGATGCTGTTCGTGGCCGTGTCGTGGTGTCCGCCAGCATCGGTCCCACGATGAGGGCGCCTCACAAGCACAACATGTGTCTCTTTTTCCGCACAATACATCGTTGCCAGCGGCACCTGTTGCGCCGCCATCCGCAATGGCTCAAAGGGAATACAATTGAAAGGGCTCTCAGACGGTGATGAGGATGACGAGGCTGTGGATGACTGCGAAGGCACAAGACACGCAATCTGAAGTGCAAAGGTTGTCCTTTTATTAAAAGAGAGCGTCAGGGAGAGAATGTGTGGACCAGCAAACTCGGCCCGCTCCACCGTCGCCCCTGCAGGCAGTGAAATAGGTTGTGGCCTGCTCGCCGTCATTGCCGCATTCTTGTCCATAAGCTTCATGACATAGCATGTGGAGCTGCCCGCCGCAAACACAGCCGCGTGACAGTTTGCACCCCCCGTTTCCGTCGTTATTGCACTGGAGAGCACCAAACTGCTGATGCTGCTGTTCCGCGCCGCCGTCAGACGCTCATCGACAAACACCTCCTCCGAGGTGACCTCAACCTGCGGATCAAACGCCACCGTGACACGAATAAGTCGACCAGCACCCGTCAGAAGCAGACACGACGTCGCTGAGAGGGCCTGAAGGCTGCAGAAGCCTTCGCCTTCGAACGTTGTCCCGACAAGGTGGGCGCCTGCCAGGAAGGAGCGCCACTGACGATTCTCTCGCTTTGCCACACGAGGAACATCCGCCTTGGACGCAACGTAAAGCTCCCTCCTGCCTCTCTGCGTGCTACCGCCCTCAACAATAAAGGCGACGGTATGCGCACTCAGGCAACACACATCACACACGCGTCGTCCGTCGCCTAATGCGTCCGCGCGGACAGCCCACTGCAGCGCCCACGTGTCGCAGCGGAAGACGCCCACAGAGAAGAATAACGCGTGCGAGGAGGTGTCTGCAACGTGCGGGAAAACAAGTGCCACGTGCTCTCCAGCCGGATTTGCACTTGCGTCAGCGTCCGCGGCGTTCCGCCCGCTCATCTTTTTAGACGTTGGGAAGGCGCTCCATGACATCAGCGGCGGTGGCTGCGCAGCACCGGTGGGATGAACTGCCTGAATCGTCGCCGGCGGGCGCCTTCCGTACATGTCCAGAAACGACCCTCCGCAGGCCACGCGGCCGGTGGGTGACAATTGCACGAGGGACATTCAACAGACCGCGCCTCGCTTGTGTGCCGCTTCCCAGACCCAGCAAAAACGAACACAACGCAGCAAATTCCAAAAAGTGTGCGACTCTCCGTCTTCAAGAGCAGCGGGAGTTACAAAACGGGGTGTGTGCGTGTGTGTGTGTAGCTTCTTCCTTCCTTGCCTCCTACCTTTGCGCTACCACACAGAGAGGCGTACGCAGCAAATTAACAGGGTGACAGGAGAAGGGGGAGAGACGAGGCTATGCATGCAAGTAACAATGAGGAAGAAGGCAAACGAGAAAGAAAGAGAAAGAGTGACATTGCCAAGTTCACCACCTTCCCGGAAGAAAAAGAAATAGACGCATGCGGCAATAAACGAAGGCGGGGAGGAAGACGAAACCAAACATAAAAAAAATAATAATCGAAATCACGTCGTCAATATTCGTTCCTCCTCTCATTCCTAAGTTCGACCAGTCACTCGCCATCCCACATGTGGTGGAAACGAAGGGGCATGTGGCAGCGCAGAGCAGCAAACTTGACAAGAAAAAAAAAAAAAGTTAGTGGAACGAATACAAAGGGAGACGTCAAACCGCCAGAAATAAAAGGAAAGTCACCCACCCGACAGCAACTCACGTCGTTGTTGTTGTTGTTTTTTTTTGCCTCGTGTCTCGTCTCTTTTCGATCGCCGCGGCTTCGATTCTCCTCCTGCTCCTTCCGGCTGGCACTGCTCAGCAGTGTCCACACCCACCTGCCCTCACACACACGCACACAACGACTGGCGGGTTCCAACAGCCCCCGGCTCACTCTCACTGCCTTTCCCTTCGTTTCCTTTACTCTTTGCCCTGCTTGCCCGCTTCCACGCCACCGCCTCCTCCTCCGCCTCTCTTCTTCCTCTTCTTCTCATACCGGATCTGGCGCCGCCTTATGTATATATTATTTTCCCCCTCACTACCCCACTCCCTTGATATTTCCTTCGTTGTCTTGTATTGTACTAATGTTTCCTTTCTCTAGCCATCTTTGCTTCATCCGCAACAATGTGACCGTGAAGCTCGCTCTCACCCTATCCACGCATTCTGCCCACGCTGCGGCTCCACGACACACGTGTGATCACATGCATTTATATATATCGTTCTTATCCCTATGCATTCATCACCCACACGCGTGCACGCGGGGGTCCCCCATCTACTCTACGAGAATAGCATCAGGAAGGCAAGCATGAGGGCAAACAGACCGATAGCCTCCGTCAGGGCAAATCCAAGAATGGCGTAGTTGAACAGCATCTTCGTCAAGTTCGGCTGCCGCGCGCAGGCGACAAGCAGGTTGCCAAAAATGGTACCAATGCCGAGGCCAACACCTGCGAGTGCGATGGCGGCAAGGCCGGTGCCGACGTAGTGCAGACCCTGCACAGAAATGGCTACGGTCGACGCCCTACGCACCACCAGTGACGTAGACGAGGGAACCGCAACGGCCACGCGGCGCGCGACAGGCTGAAGAGCGAGACGGCGCATCATATTTTCAAGTTTCTTTTAGTAAATATATCTGTGATTGTGTGTAAGAAACCGTGACCTTTCCGTTTTTTTTTCCCCAGTAAATTCGCAACAGCTAATTTGGGGGATAAAGAAAAACAAAACACAAGTGGAGGCGGTGAGGTGGGGAAGAGCAGAGTTGGAGCTCATGAACCTCAGTCGTTAGCCGAGAGAAGAAGCCATGCAAGGAAAAAGAAAGCCCCGTCATCATCCCAGGGATGCTATCCACAACGTGCAAACAGAAGCAAAAAAGGAAGCACCAGACACACTCACTCCCTCGCTCGCTCCTACTCTCTCTCTCTCCCTCCTCTCTCTCTCTCCCTCACACACACGCATGCCACGTACACAGAGAAAGAGAGAAAAATTTCACTCATACACGCTCACAAACGTGCGCGTCCAAGATGTGTGTGGATGCGTGTGTGTCATCCCTCACCTTATTTGTTTTGTACACTAGTCCCAAGGCTGCTGCGCTACCCACCATGTGCGTCAGCGCCCTCCACTCTATTGGGGGCTGGCATCCTCGCCCTCATTTGCTGTGGGCGCACTGCAACCTCTCTTATTCACCACTTCCGCCGTCCAGACGGCATCCGCAACCACGTCGTGGCCGAACACGTACCTCATGTCCACGTACGACTTGCCAAGGCCGAAACCACCGCCAAACGCCGTCACCACAATGCGTGGCCCGACGGCGCGAAACACAACGAGCGAAAATGCGGTGCCACTGAGAAAACCTAAGCCACCCACTCTGAGGGTATTATCAATGACGTACCGCCACTTCTCCGCCTCCGTGAGGGACTCCCGTGGAAGCAGCACCCTCCCACTTGCCACTGTCGATACCCGTGTCGTCATCTGGTGAGTCCGAAAAGTGGTCCGCCCCACACCCTTTACTCCTGTCACCTCCTGCAGCACACACTGCCTCTTCCCTAACGGCCCCACTCACCTAACTGTCAAAGCGTTTTCTTATTCTTTCTTCGTTGCTGATGGCTTCCCCCTTTGTTTTTCCCCCTTTTTTTTCCTTTGCGAATTATCCTTTTGTAAACAAAAAAAAATCCGTCGAAGAAATGACCCATAAATTTGAACAAAAAACAGCGCGGGGACCTGTAGCTGCAGCACCAACGCCACCATACACCATAGTGACGTGTTACTAGTCGCAGTAGCAGTGCAGCTAGGACGGCTTCGAGAGGAAAATAAGTGCAGGACGTCAAATACATCCGCGCAGACAAAAACAAGATAAAAACAAAAAAAGAAAAGAGTAAGCACACACATGCATAAACGGACTTCTGCCAAGTGAAGCCAAGAACGCATCGCTTCCACCGCTCACCTCACTTCTTCTTCGTCTGATGGCGGAGGGCCTCCTCCATCTTGGCACGCCGCTTCTTGGCGGCCTTGAAGTTGCCAAGGCGCTTCTTGCAAAACTTGAGGGCACGCTTGTCCTTGCCAACGCGCAGCAGCTCCTGCACGCGTTTCTCCATGGGCGAGAGGCCAACGAGGTCCGTGATGATCGCCTTCACCGCGCGCAGCTTCTTGTGCGGAAGAGCGTAGCGGTCGTTGGAGGACGGGGCGCGGGCGCGGCGGGTAGTCTTGTGGCCCTTGTTAAAGCCGGCGATGATGCCCGTCCGCGGCGCGGGGGCCTCTGCCTTTGGAGCCTCTTTCTTCACGGCGGGCATGCTCTTCTCTTGCGCAGGTGCATTCAGTGTCACAATACAGTGTAGATGTGTGTGCACGACACAAGAAAAGAAGAATATGAAAAAAAAAAGGGTGGTGTATGAAAGGAGAAGGCCAGGAAACTATTCCCTGCAAACATCCATACATCGGAAAAACACCAATCTAATAACAAATTCCACCGCCAACGCCGCCAGTAGCTGCAGCAGTAGCAATGACTGCTTGCCCATCACACAACAGGACAACGCGAGCAAAGAAAAGAGGGAATGGTTCTCAAAACAGCAAATACGGAGTTTAACTCTTGGTTTTCTTTGAACACAGGGAAGTAACATCAACGTCAAGTACGTAAAAGCAGTGGTCGCACTGCCACGCCCTCACTAAATTGCTCCCGCAAGCGTCCTTCAATGGTTTCCGCAACCGACACATCCGCCACATGCTCCCGCACAAACTCCAGCCACTGCTTACGTGGCAGAGACACACAGTTTAGCATTTTACGCTTGTACATCATATCCATCCCCAGGTCCCAGACACTGCACCCGGCAGTGCGCAACGCCTCTCCGGTGACCGCCAACTGCAGGGTCCCTGATCCGCTTGAACTGTACGCTCCCGTCATGGAGCAGTAAATATCCCCAACAATAAAGCCAACCTCAGTGGATATGAGATCGCCCTCATTTACCGCGTCACCCTCGGCAAAGTTACACACCTGTTCGTTGCTGTTGGTTGCATTCTCACCTGGGTCAGAAGGGTAGCGATGGCGGCAGACGGCGACAACGACAATTTTGGTGCGATAACTGTCCTTGTTGAAGAACATGTGGATAAGGCAGGCACGAAGGGCGCGGCACATCCAGTTTTCGCCGTGCTGTGCCACAATCAGCGAGAGCGCAGGGACGATATCTTCATTGCGGTTGATAAAAACATCAAACGACCTCGTGCGAGTGCTTTCGTTGCGACCTAATAAATATTTTTTGGAGACATGCAGCATCTCAACTACAAACTTTCCCTCCTTATCGTCACTGCTCATAGGAAAGCCCTTGACAGGCGGTTGCAGCTGCGTCACGCACCGCTCATGATGCAATTTGGGAGCGAATAGATAGTGGTCAGCGTCAACTAAGATCGACATGGGGAATATACCCCGTTGACACGCCGCATCAACCAGGAGAGGAGAAAACAGAGGCGAAAAGCCAAATTCATTGTGGCTCCCCATTCTTGAAAGCCGCTTCGCAAGCGTGTCCATGTCTGCGGCATTTTTCACTGGCGGGTAAAACCTGGAAAGCAATTTAACACCTTCGGAGGTAAGTGGAAGAATGGTGCACACATCGTTGCGGCTGGTGGCGTCCCGCACCTCCTGCTCCATGTCTACCGCGGGAAGATCATCCCCGCCTTCCACACGAAAGTGCTTTCTTGTATGCCGCATTGCGCAAAGACCTCGTTAGGGAGGCCCAGAGAGGAGGAATTGCCAACGACAACCTCCTTCCCCTCGGACGCGTCCACGGTGCAATAACAATAACAACAAGAAAAAAAAAGAATATGATGGACAAGAATAGAAAATGAGGGAAATAGGAAAAAAAAAAAAGGTCACAATAAAAAGGGAACGTAAGTGCTACCAAGAAAGCGGGCACAACAAGTCGTCGCCGTAGTAGTGGCGACAGCACTGCCTTAACGCCAGTTCCGCACATCCGTTTCACCCCGACGATGATCAATGCCGCGACCAAAAAAAATGACCTTCACGCCGATCACCTCTCACTCTCCTCAGCAGACCTACAGATAAGCGCACACACCAATGCGTGAGCCACTGTCCCTGCCCTCTTTGCGAGAGTGACGATTGGACAGTGATCAGCTGCCAAAACGATACAATGTTTGCCGGGCATGTTGGCCTTCGCTACCAATTCAACGACGCAACTCACAAAGTAGGCGGCAGCCATGCCACAGGCACTACAAGATGTGTTTGCCCCGAAGCGCTGCAGAGGCGGTAGTCGTTGAACCAACACCAGACAAGGGGGAAAACATTGACAGATATATCAGGACAATCGTTTCCTCCACCTCCGGCCGCATAGTCTATAGCGGTGTCAATACTACTCCTCAATGAAGGGCAAGGCTCAGATCGCGAGATTTGGCCCTCCCGTCTCTCACCACTAATGACTCCCGCACGTGGCGTTGCGTAAACCGTGTCATCCAGCCTCCAACACTCGGGACCGACGCCATACCACCCGACAGAAAGTGCACGTAGCCACATCGCTCGAAGGTGTTGGCTGTGATGACCGTCACCCGCGACAGCCATGTGAGGCGTAATGCGGATCACTCATTGTCAAACACGGCGGGGGCGGCATGGGGACCACGCACCACGCCCCAAAAGTTGGCGTAGTGCACCTCAGTATCCATCAGGCCACGAAGCTCTTCCACCTTTCTATCATCCCCGGCGGCAAAGAAAAACTCGGCGATCGTCAGGTTATCCCGCAAGGTGCCGCTCGGATCATCCACAAGAAGTTTCAGCTTTCTAACGTTGTACGACACTGTGGGACCCCACCTTTTGCAGTCCCTGCTTCCTAAAACGCGTCACCTCCCACAGGGAAGTCAACGGTGTCTGATTAATTAGGTATATATGTGAGATGCCGAAGGGAGCGCGCCAGCGCCCCACCGCGTTGCGTTGCGTTCAACCCAAAGTTAGAGAATACGAAAGCACGCAAGAAGGGGGGAATGACGAAAATACAGAAAATAACAACGGTAATAATGATACATTCAAGATGCTGCGCTGCCTCAGTGAAGCAAAGAAATACAGGATGCAGTAGAGCGCTCAACAGGCATTGAAACAACAGAGCGACTTCCACTTCTGCCTTGCCGCCAACAGCAACACCTGCACTCACCGTGCCCCGTCATCATGGCCAGCAGCCACCTTTCGTTTCTTGCACCATGTCACGCCGATTTGGGAAGTTTGGCCAACGCGGCCTCTACAACCGCCTTCAGTGCCTCTGTCTGTGCTGTGGGTGCGAGTGGCTTCCACTCTATCTTCCCCGCCTTGTCCCTTGGGACGCCGCGGCCCACCGTCGGATCGTCCTCAAAAATTTCTCCCTCGTCGTCAAAGACAACGTGTCCCTTCGACATTATTTATGGCTTTAGTGAGCCGAAGCGCTTGGACGCTAACAAGAGTAGTGGTCGTAAATACATATATCGCGAAAAAAGACGAGAAAAACAGTAGGAAAGAAAAAGAAAAAAAGGTGACAAGAAAAGGAAGGGAAGAAAGAGGCGTCCATCCATCCCAAACCCAAGGGCGGTCGGTGCTGGTACACAGAAGGCAGCAATGATGATGGCTTACACACAGCGGCACAGAGAAAGCAAAGGAGAAAATGTCATCTCAAAAAACAAAAAAAAAAAGATAGATAAAAAACAAACAATAACATGTACAACGGCTTCCTGCAGACGGTGGGCTTTATCAACCCCACTGCCATATACACATACTCTCTCTATAGGAACCCTTATACGTCTGCTCCTTCCATGCCGCCCTAGTTTACCTTTTTTGTTTGTTTCTTAGAGGTAGTGAAGAGGGAGTTAACGGTGTCTCTTGTTTGAGTGTCGCCCCACTTTTTCGCTGTCATCTCCCAGAGCACACGCTCAGTTAGTTGGCCACATACGTTGTTGCTCCAATCTCCACGTTGCCTTCTTTTTCTTCTGTTTCAATTTATTATGACTTCTTCGTTTCCTGTGAAAAGTTACGTCTCGACTGAAGGCCAAATAAAAATTCGTCCTCCAACCCCTGTCACCCCCCAGCCTCGCATGCCGAAGCCTCCACACTCCCACTGTTCACGGAGAAAGAAGAGGAGCAGCAGGAGGGAGTGGCGGGCGACCCGGTGTACACCGGTTGCTGCCTCACCCTTTTTCTTCCTCACACTGCACCTCTGCGTTATTTACGCTTTCCTTTGCTTTTTGATCCTTTACTCTTCACCTGGCCCTGCGTCAATACAACAACGAGGAAGCCCCCTAACCCTTCCTCTCCTCAAACCATGCGGCGACACTCACGGTGTCTGTTGTTGTCTCAGTTCCGCCCACACACCCCAGACGCATGACTCTTGCTCTACTGCTGGGAGAGAAGCAAGACGCATGACGTCGCACACAAAGAAAGGGGATGCATCCAATATGCAAAGGGTAGGTGAGTAGATAGCTGGGCACAGGTGAGCAATAAGGAAAGAAAACAAAAAAAAACACCACTGCATCATGACACGCCCAAATGCATAATAAGAGGAGACACAATAGGCGCAAATAATAATAATGGTAAAAACATCTAATTATTTCACTCCTTTCAATTTTCCACCTTGGTGGTCTTGTTTCACTGGCTTTCTTTTTGCTTTCCTCCCCTTTCCACAGCTCCCTTTCCGTCGTTTCATTGCGGATTTCGTCACAGTAAAAATAATACCATTACGGCTGCTCTCAGAGAATCCACACACTCAAGACGAAGAGTGAGCACAATACGGTATTAAATAAAAGCAAGTAAAATGTAAAACTAGATACATCTAAAGGCGTCTGACAGACGAGGCCACCACCGGTGAGTGGCGCCTCACGATTACACTTCCTCCAATTTTCGTAGCGTTACTTCCTCCGTTTACGTTACGGTTGGCGTGCGATTCTAATGCAACCCCACTAGAAGAGGCGACCCGCACACTTGCGTAGTTTGGCCGGCCTACAGGAGAACCGCGGCGGGAACCTTGTGGACCGTTTCGGAGCGAAGATCGCTGCACCACGGATGGTGGCTCGCCCGTCTTATTGGCATCCCATGCAGACACGACCCCACGACTAGGCTGTGATCGATGCGGAGCAATGTTTTTGTAGCTCGACGCCCGAGCTGAAGGTGCAGAGGCGACAGAGGAGACGCTTCCGCCAAGTGACGTTGGACTACCGGTACGCATCAAAGAGGTGCGAGCCACCCGTGGGGCTCCCAGGTTAGACGCAACTCGCAACCTAGAAAAATTATTATCGGCTACCGTCGCAGATGAGGGGCGTTGGGCAGGACGAGTCGGCTTAGCATCATGCGTAGGCGCCGGAAGTGGAGAGCCTTTACGGTATTTGTGACTGGAGGTAAGCGTCGCGAAGGGTGATCGTCCCGGAGGGTGAATCGTACTGGGTAGTGCAATGTGGCGAGTCTCTGCCCCTGCATGAGCGCCTCCCTCCAACGTGGAGCACCCAGTTGCCGTACGCGCCGTCAACGACAAACTAGGACCATCCAACCCGGAGGCGCTGCGGCCCATTTTTGACTCCGAGCGAACAGTCAGTTCCTGTCGACCGCGTGGATTGGTGCGTGGGTCAGACTCTACACGGCGGGTGCAGGGAGAAATGCTGCGGCTCATGATACCGCTGCGGCTGTGCCAGCTACGCAAAGACACGGAACCGTGAAACCCAAGAAAGTGGTTGCTTGAGTCGAGCTGCTGCAACGACTGTACATTCACAACAGGTGCACCATCTTCTGAGTCCACGTGCGTTCCTTGCTTTGTGTCGATGAACACAATGCGTTTGCCCTTTCTTCCCTTTGCTTTTATGCCCGCGTCACTGGGTTTCATCGAAGTTCCAAATTCTACTTTGCTTGTACAAAACTTGTACAAGCTATTACGTCCCTGCATCTCAAAGGTTAGTCCATTAAGCAAGGTGTTGCGCAGCATCCACTGATCATTATCTAATCCAAACTGAGAGTCGTCGACGTCCGGGTCAAACACGTCGTGATCTACGCAATTACGCTTGGCAAACATACGCAGCTGCCGCAGGAAATGTGGTCTGATGCACATATCTTTGTGGGCCATCTCAAGGAAGGCAAGGGCATTATCAAGCTTCCAGCCATATTTTACGATGAAGTACGCCGCTATCAGCGCTGGGCTGCGTGACACACCAAAATGGCTGTGCACCAACACACAGTAGCCGGACTCAATTGCCTCATCTATAAAGTGCACCGTGCGTTCAATATTCTCGTCGGCGCTATCAAACATCACGGCGGTGCATATGGAGCCTGTGGTGTCCCTCCACGGGAAGGTGAGGTACTTCACCCCGTCGTGCACAAAAAGGTCGGGTAGCTCCCCACCAGCGCAGTTAATGATGTGTGTGATTTTGTTCATCTCGATGAAGTCGCGGTCCTGCGAGGCGATCACATTGCCGACAAAAATGCCATCCTTCACGCGAACGGCGATTAACTCCTGCATGCCCAACCACAAGCCCCCTACAAAACCCAAATGTGCCTCTACAAAGTAAGGATAACAACCAGAAGAGCCCACGCAGCAAAATAAAAAAAAAGAAAAAAGAAACAGAATAAGGCAATTGTATTCTTTTTCCTGTGTGATTTTGCTTGCTTGTTTTTATTCGTTTATAATGATAAGAACTTGGTGAAACTCGCCTTCGCTATTGAGATATATATCCTTGACTGTGCCCCTGTCCTTTTCCCCTCACTTCTCCCCGCTATTTTTTTTTTCTTATATATATATATATTTGCAGCTACTGGGACTATTCCTTTGTGCGTGGCCGGCGGGAAGAAGTCCTGTAAAACTTGCTGTTGTAAGGGTGGTAGCACAGGTGCTCAAGTTCGGCCTTAGGCCGACGACATGGCGCAAGAAGAGAGAGAGGAGAGAAACGAAACAAAAAAACAAAAAAAAAATGAAGTGAGGAAAAGTGAAAAGTAAGGAGAAAACAAACAAACAAAGAAAAAAAAACAGAGCCTTAATATATATATATATATATATTAATAGTACTAGTAGTGGTAAATACAAAACTTTTCTTACAAAAGACAGTGCCACACAAAAGGTTCTTGTTTGGCCGGCGAAACCCTTCAAATAGCCGCGTGGCGCATCACAGTGCATTTATTTATCATTAAGGTGAGTTAATTTGTATGTATGGCGGTCATCTTGTTGGCCGAGACGCATGCGTGGTGGGTCGTGTGCTGCCTTTTTCATTCCGTTGTTGTTGTTTTTTTTTTAAAAAAAACCTTTTCTGCCGTTGCTTTTTTCCTTTCTTGTTGTATTAATTGTTCCAGTCGCCTATTTGTGTTCGCTTGCTCCGACTCTCTCGCCCTGTACGACCAGCTGCTTGCATTTCTTAGTTGTCGCCGCAATTGTCTCGTCCCTTCCTTCATTTTTTTTTTTCCTCTTTCCTCCTCCTCCGCCACACGGCCGCTGTCACCGTAGCTTGTGCCTTATTCCGCCTTATTTTTAGTTTTCCTGTGCGCTTGCTCCGAGGCACGCCGACCTCAGTGCCTCCCCTTCTTGGCTTTCTTCTTGGACGACGCTTCCTCTTCCTGCTTCACCTCGTCATCCTCGCTGTGCTCCAGCTCAGGCTTGTGTGGAACCTTGTTCGCCACGTCCTGCGTGTCCATCATGTAGAAGTAGTTTCCGGCGTTCTTCTGCTCCCGGTCCTTCACGGAGTCCAGCTTGTTGATGCGTGGACGGAAATTGGTGGGGTCGCGACGAAAGGTGATGTCAAGACTCTTCAAAAATTTATTCATGCCCTCCAACAGACCGCAGGGAGTACATGCCCTGCAGTCCACCGCCGGCGTCCCCTCGTACACAATCACCCGATCTGCCAAATACGTTGCCATAATAAAGTCATGCTCCACAATGAAGGCAGTACGTTTGGTGTGCATGATAAACCGCTTAATCACACGGGCGGCAATAATACGCTGATCCGAATCCAGGTAGGCACTTGGCTCGTCAATCAAATATATATTTGCCGGTGTTCCCAACGCAATACACAAACCAACTCGTTGAAGCTGGCCCCCGGAGAGGTTTTGTACCTCCTGATCTAGAAGTTCCTCAATTGTCAAGGGCTTCAGTACATCTGTCTGGAACTGTGGGTGACTGAAAGCGTCGTAAATCTTCGTCTGCAGAAGATCTTTTACGGTACCTTGGAACTTTGGCGCAATCTTTTGAGGTTTATAGCTGATTGAAAGTTGTGGCACCTCTGCGTTGTTGTCTGGCTTTTGATGACCGGCCAACATGCGAATAAAGGTGGTTTTGCCGCAACCGTTTTCTCCAAGCAGCACAATAATCTCAGAATCCGAGAACGTTCCAGGTTCTACGGTCAAGGTGAAGGATCCCAGCTTTTTCGTCATTGCAGGATAGCTGTTTTGAGCGCTGCGTTTAGTTATCTCGTCAAAGTCGTCAACAATGCGGAAGGTGAGACCTTCCTCACGAAAGCGGAGATTCTCCGTTGGGACAAAGCCATCCAGAAAAACATTAATGCCTTCGCGAACACCGTAGGGCATTGTCACGACACCGTAAATGCCAGGAACACCGTATAATACGCAAACAAAATCAGACATGTAATCAACGGCAGAAAGATCATGTTCCACAACAATCACATAGTTATCCTCCTTTAGCAGGGATCTTATAACTCGGGCAGCTGTCAGGCGCTGGCGCACATCCAAGTAACTAGAAGGTTCATCAAACATGTAAACCGCGGCACTTTGAACACATAAAGCAGCAATTGTAAAACGTTGCAGTTCACCACCAGAAAGTTTGTCAAGTTCGCGATCCGCAACATTATTAAGATCAAGCAACTTCATAAAGTGATCCTTCATGCCGCGTTGATCCGACTTTGCGAGTAGCTCCCCCACCATGCCTTTAGTAGCTTTGGGAACCTGATCCACGTACTGCGGTTTTAAAAGAACGCGCAATTTATCTTCCAACATGTGCTGAAAATATGCTTGATGCTCCGAACCACGAAAATAACGAAGTATATCCTCCCAACTTGGCTCATTACGATAGCGGCCAAGATTGGGCTTAATCTTCCCTTTTAGAATAGACAACGCCGTAGACTTACCTGTTCCATTTGCCCCAACAAGCCCCAAGACTTGCCCTGGACGAGGGAGAGGCAAGCGATGAAGTTTAAAGCTATTAGGGCCATATCGATGCACAGTGTCTTTTTCAAGATTTGATGGCAAGTTAATGATGTGAATGGCGCCATAAGGGCACTTCTTCACACACAATCCACAACCTATGCATAATTCCTCGGAAATCTTAGAGATCACAGATTTCCTTTGTACCTCAATACACAGCTTCCCTTGAAGATTAACTGGACAACACTTGCTACACTCAAAACTGCATTTAGAAGGCTTGCACCTGTCAGGATTGACAACGGCAATACGAGTCAGTTTTGACCGCTCCTCTTCCTGTCGATTTTTGGGAGGCATTTTATTACCTAGAATATGCACCTAAATGAAGCCCTTTCCCCTATTCCGACAAAAAAAAATGCACCAATGAAAAACTACAAGCTTGTTTCTGTGTGCGCCCATAATCCAAAACTCAGATGTGATTCAGCCAGCAATCACACATTCATAACATCACAGAAAAAACAATTCAAAAAACATATGTCATAATGTCTGAGTTGGTTGAAGGGTCATGAAGTGGTAGTCTTTAGAGACCGCCGCAACTTCCAGACCCCTCTGCGTGAAGGATTTTAGCAGTAGTGAGAACTTGGGGTGGAAAAGTTCAAAAGGAACTGCATCAATTGCATCCCCACCCACCCAACATTACTTGATTACAAACAAAAGTCAGTTAACTGACAAAGAATCAGGCAACTCAAAGAAAACTGATTGTCACCCATTTAACACCATCTGAATATATATTCTTTCTAAAGGCCCATTTTAGGAATGCAACTTGTGTGCATCAATTCCATGAAGAAAAATCTCTAAAACATGCAGTCATGTAACCCATTACTTTTCAGTTTAGATGCGCAGTCGGCACGGGACCGTCGGAAGCATCAAAAATAGATGACCAAACTTGTGTGTTCACCTCTCCGCTGCTCATCAACACCACTCTTTTCTTCTCTATATTCTCCACTAGACGTTGTCGGTATTATTTATATGTTTTTTTTCCTATTCTTTGCTTGCCTTTTTATGTGACCAATTGTTTTCCTTTTCTTGTATTTGTTAGAAATAGGGGGATACATTTCTCCTTTCATTGTGCTTTGCTTTCAAATAATATATATGTATATATATCACTTATTTTCATTCTCATTGGTATCTTCATTCTCAGGTACACCAAATACAACTGCCCTTACTTCCTGATAAACTGGACGATTCAGCAAATGCCACCAAACAAAAATGACGGTTGATGCAAGTAAAAGCAAAAAGCAACCAAGTGTGTAATACCAAAGGGCATTCGCACCAAATACATTCCACGATGGAATAATTAATAAAATAAATGTGTTGAGCGGTTGTGTCAACTGACTGGCCACCGCTACCACAACTGGGGAATATTCATTCATGTACGCAAAGACAGTGTGGCGAATCCAGAATCCCAGAATATAAACAGACATATAAACAGCATTATTGGGGCATTCAGCCACACACTTAATACTGGCTATAAGCATATCCCAGGACTCTTGCAAAGAAGCACACTTTCCAAAAAATGGAGCAGCATCGAGTGGAAAATACATTAATGTAAATACGAGCTGTACTGTTGTTTCGCATGTCAACATGACTATTTTAGTCGTAAATGGTGAACAGCTTCCTCGAAATTCGTTCAAAAAACGACCTTGAAGAACATTGTAAAGCGGATACAATATTACACCCAAAAGAAATATTGCAATCCAAGGAGGACTAAAATACTCATTTTTACGGTGGCTTTGAGTTTGCGGTATCATTGCAAGAGCCACCCCACCAGCTGTGCAGGCAACAACCAATAATAATATAGGGGAAAATGAGGACTGACTTTCCGGATAAAAAATAAATGCAAACAAGTATGTCCAAATAGGTCCAGTTGATATAAGTGCGGATTGAAGTATGACTGGGACATGCACCGCAGCGTACATGCAACAAAGCCCCGTTAATGAATCAAATAAACCAATTAGGGCAAGAAAAAAAACACCTCTGCGATTCCACCAAAAAAAAACATTTTCGGAGCGTCCAATCTTCCAATTAATGATGCGAATAGCAGCTGAGGAAGCACAAAACAGAAAGGACCATCCCACAGATGGAATAAAGATGCTAGTGTAACTCCGTTTAAGTCCCTTTTTAAAGGACCAAAGCCAGAAATTCATGCCAATAAACATCATTACCGATGAAGCATACAATAGGAATAGAAGAACTGCTGCAGTTAGCACTTCCTGTTTGGTCATACGCATAGCTCCAAGTACGTTTTTAAACCTCGCAAGCATAATACGCATCATTCTCGTTTTTTCGTTCCAGGTACTCTTCTCATGATCCTTGATATAAAATTGCTATAAAAAGAAAAGAAAATAAAAGAACATATATCCAAAAGCATGAGACATGTCTTTCCCCCGTATCCTTCTATCCCTAGAATACGTGAAAAAAAAAGAAACTAAAAAGTATACGCACAGAAAGGCATCTCCAAATTCCGCTTCAAAACAAAACAAAACAATGACAACTTTTACCAGGCAGGACAATATATTGCACTTAGTAATAAGGCGTTAAAAAAAAAGACACAGTAAAGAAAAAATGTAAAACAGTACACTAAGAAAGAAGAAGTACATCAAGTAATCCCAAATATATTCACCTCACTTGGAAGCAAACAATATATTGGGTGTGCTATACCTAAAAATTCTAGATAAAAACTCACCATAATTCACTTTTCCTTTGCGTAAGCACCCATAGTAGCGAAGCTGTAAGAAAAGTTCCTTCCCTTCAAAGGAAGAAAGCGGTTCCCCTTCCTCCAACATAATTTGTATAAAGCGATTCACCTCAATGTACCCCGTGCGTTCAGGGTCAAATACCGCAAAAACCTCTTTTAACTGTTCGATTTCATAATCCCCTTTACGTGGCAGTCTTGTGGACATGGTCGCAAAAATTAAAAAAAACTGCGCAAAGGTTATCTCTTGCACACTATCAAGGTTCATTTCTACGATAACAGGAACATATACATCTTCAACGAATCCTGGTGCTATTTGAAGAAAAAAGTCCCTAACCCTAGACATTTCAAGGAGTCCCTCACCGGCGCCATCAAAGTGACGAAAGAGTTCGTGAAGTTCAGCAACCTGATCATGTGTAATAGATTTTGTCAATCGCCTCGGCTTCATAGCCTTTGTTGTTTCTGTTTATTTTTTGTTCGTTCTTAAACCTAATAAATGCCAAGGCTTTCCTTGTCACACCTAATCTACCTGGGAAAGCCAAAGGAAGAAATAATCCGTATATTTTAATAAGGATAATCAAACAAAAAAAAAGAGGCAGGAACACAAAAAAAAACGTATTACTTTTATCAAGAGGCAATCCAACACACGACATCGGAACAAACATCTCAAAAAGGGAAATAAAAAATAAAATAAAAACAAATAAAACATACCTACTGAAAAGGAACCGAGCTGTGCACCTCACCAGGTGTAGACTCAATTGCACCTTCTATCGACATTGTTTCGCCTCCGTGTAATTGCAAAGGCCGCGGAGGTGGCTGGAGGGGCGCGTATCCAGAAGCCACTGAATGTCGTACTGGGGATTGTATAGTAGTCAAAGCCCCAACGTCCATCAAGAAATCATCGAGCCGTTGTGCCGGGTTTGTATTTTGCTTTTTAATGGCCTTTTGAACCCCACTCGCCAGTTTCATAAGCGTCCGGGAATCACCATTGCAAAGAATACCAACCAGTGAGTTGACGGCGGCCTCATAGCCGAAAACGATACCCTGGCCATATTCAGGGTAATGAATCCGTACCCATTCAAAAAAATCCGTAAACGGATACGCGTGACGAACGCCTTGGTACGCTTTCTGAATTTGTTCACGGGTCCCGGCGTCGAATTGTATAGAAAATAGCAAGGAATTGGCTTGCGTTTCCGGACTTGCAGCCCACAAGGGCACGCTTGCAGCATCCAAGGAGACACCTGAGAGGCGATGGAATAACATTTTAAATGACACATACAACAATGCTAACCCCGTAAAAAGCATCAGCCAGTCCACACCCTGCCCACTGTTTGAAGCATTCTGCCAAAATGGATAGCCCTGATTCACTGCGCTATAGGCCTGGGATGCTGTGGAACGTGTCGCACCCTCTTGCTCTGCAAAATGCCCGTAGCGTATATTGGTTAATTCGCGCAAGCTCATGCCACGATATCGCGCAACGATCTTTGCCCTTAGTTCTCTTTCTTTTTCCCCCTCTGCAGGGTCTTCGAGTAATACAGAACGCCTAGCGTTCAAGAACACCCGAGACACAATGGTGCATGAAGAAACTACTTTTCGACGAAACATCACTTCTATGAGTTGAAATTTTTAAAACAAAAAAAATAATAATAAACAAACACATCTGACGACAGTGCGAACAGCACAAAACTCGTTTGCGCGCCCATAATCGCAGCGGAACCAACCCGCCCCCGCGCATGAGAAACCCCCGCGCAAGACACGGACGGCGCCAAACCCCCGCACAAAGGAAAAACGAAAACGAAAAAAGGAATAACGCCCCAAAAAGGCGGGCACCGTGCACCATCGAGCCCGCGCCGCCGCGCGGTGCTGGCAATGGGGGGCGGGGCGCAGCCGCCCGGGCGGCGGGGCGGGGGGTCTCAGCGCGCCCTCCCCCGCCGCAGCCGCTGGCTGTTTTTTTTGTTTTGTGGCCGCTCGATCCCAGTCGTTTTTCTCTGTTTCGCTATGTGTTCAATTTTTTTCCACTCCTCTTTTACTATTTTTTGCTTCTATGTAGTGTTTTTTTTTGTTTGCTTTTTGATTCGCGATGTCCGCGGTGGGCGGTCGCCCCGTAGCTCTGATTGACACATCATGCTACTCGGCAGATTGTAGTTTTTCCGCCTTGGTCCCACAACATGCCATGAAGCCCTATCGTCTATTAGTTGCAATGGAGCTTATTAGAACTTTAGGACTTGATCGTTATTGTCGAACTGTCGTACCACCCCTTATTGGAATCGAACAGCTACAATCGTATCACGCAGCAGACTATATTTCAAATCTTGGTCTTCATAGTAGCAGAAGCTGGCTATGGAATACAGAAGTATCAAAAGTGACTTTTTCAGGGGATTGTCCTCCTGTTGAAGGGATACTAGAACATTCACTTTCTATTGCAAGTGGTTCACTTATGGCGGCTATACTCTTGAACAGCGGGAAGGCGGATATTGTTATTCACTGGGGTGGCGGTATGCATCATGCAAAATGTGGGGAATGTTCTGGATTTTGCTATGTTAATGACATTGTTCTCGCTATTCTTGAACTACTGAAATGTCACCAAAGAGTTTTGTACGTGGACCTTGATATGCATCATGGAGATGGTGTTGATGAAGCATTTTGTCAAAGCAATAGAGTGTTTACGCTCTCACTTCATAAATTTGGTGAATCCTTTTTTCCTGGTACAGGTCACCCACGTGACATAGGCTTTGGAAAGGGACGTTATTGCGCCATGAATTTGGCTTTGTGGGATGGTATAGATGATTTTTTCTACACAACTATTTTTGAACGTGCGTTGACCTCCATTGTTCAGCGATATTTACCCGATGTTGTTGTTCTGCAGTGTGGCGCTGATTCTTTGGCTGGGGATCGTCTTGGACACTTTAATCTGTCATCGTGGGGTCATGGAAAATGTGTTGAGGAGGTCAAAAAGCTTGGTTTACCAATGCTAGTATTAGGAGGAGGCGGTTATACCTTACGAAATGTTGCAAAGCTGTGGGCCTACGAAACCAGTATTCTATGTGGTAAAAAACTGCTTTTGAACACGGTTATTCCTGTTATGGGAATGCCCCTAAGTGGCTGCTTGTTCGAGGACTCGACTCAGTTGTTGGTTGCACAAGATGAGGAAAATAAACCGCTTGCCGGCGTCAATGTTCAACGGGCTTTTAAAATGATCATCGAACAAATCGATAAACAATGCCCAAATATTAGTCCGCCTTGACTAATTATAGGAATGCTCTTCGTGCGAATAACGCTTGATCAGCACGAATACTATTTAAGGTTGCATGTATCTCCTTGTGTTCATATCATGAGTAACAACCGTACCTTTTTTTTTTGCATGCTGATAATTGTTATATATGCTTGCTTTTCTTGCTTCTTACTGTATCCACCTATCTATATTGTATTTCTTTCTCTCTTTGTGTGCTGGGTAAGTGGCAAACGCAAAATAAAAATAAAAAAAATAATGCAGGCTAGTAATGCAGAGTGTATCGGTCCTGAAAGTCCGGAAGCCGGAATTGCCGCCTCCTGTCAAGGTTGTCCCAATGCTTCAATATGCGCGTCTATGCCAAAAGGACCAGATCCAGATATTGAATTGATTAGGCAGCGTCTGTCAGGTGTTAAACGAAAAGTGATGGTTATCAGTGGGAAAGGGGGAGTTGGAAAAAGTACTCTCACCAAAGAGCTTGCATTTGCTCTGAGTCATATGGGTCTAAGCGTTGGTTTGTTGGATTTGGATATCTGTGGCCCTTCTCTTCCACGTCTAATGGGTGTTCGAGGAGAAGACGCACATCGAAGCGCTGCAGGTATTGAACCGGTTTTGATTGAGGAAACGGTTTCCATGATGGCCATGCATTACTTGTTAGGAGACAAAAATGAGGCTGTTCTTTTTCGAGGTCCACAGAAGAATGGTGTCATTAGGATGTTTTTAAAAGACGTGATTTGGGGTGATCTTGATATTATGCTCATTGACACCCCTCCTGGAACGTCAGATGAACATATCACAACTGCATCATTACTACAGCAATCTGGTGGTGTAACTGGCGCTATTCTCATTACAACTCCTCAGTTGGTTGCAGAAGCAGATGTAAAGCGAGAAGTGGGTTTTTGTCGTAAAGCAAAACTTCCGCTGCTTGGGATTGTAGAAAATATGAGTGGTTTTATCTGCCCTAACTGTAAAGAAGGCTCTGTTATTTTTCCGTGTATCAACTCTCAGGGAGCAGGGAAACGCTTGAGTGAACAATTTGGGATCCCTCTATGGGGTGAAGTACCTTTAGATCCTATATTAATGAAGGCGTGTGAAGAAGGGGTGGCTCTAACAGAGGTAGTTGATACTAAAAGCCCAACTCTTGAGGCACTGCAGTCTGTTGCTGCAAAGCTTGTTGCATCCCTAGAAATGGAGTAGGGTATAGGTTGCCATTTATCATTTACGATATATATATTCCTATACCTAACTCGGTGATGAAATGAAATAAAAGGGTTAGGGAAGGTGATAAAGACATAATAAACTAACTCGCGTGGAATGGACTGTTATAGCGCATGTGTTGAAATTTTTCGCACACTCTCTTGTTTTTGTATCCTTCTTTAAATTACAATCACTCTAGAAACTAATGTCAATAGTGGCCTCATTTGTTTCCGAATGTGCTCGGAGCGGGCGTTGGATTAGAGGGCTTTTGGCGCTTCATGGGAGTCTCACCTCTAAGGAAATAGATATTTCCAAAGCAAGAATTCAGTTGGCGACAACAATTCTTGACAAACACTGGTGCACCGCATTAGATTTGGTACGACCGAGTGACATTTCTTACGTGGATGAACTATGTCACTTTATTTATGAATGCTCTAGGAGTGCTTCTGTACCTTCAGATCTCTTTTTTCACACTGTTAAAGTATTTCTCCAGGCCACAAGAGAGAATAACGAGACGCAAAACCAGCTCTTTGTTTCGGCAATCAACTGGACATCATGGAATCAGGCGCTACAGTTTTTTACCATGTTGAAGTCCCCAGAGGGACGAAGCATCCAAGAACTATCTGATTGGCTTAGACTTAGTCGCATGTTTGGCAGTAATGACAAGAGACATATCATAAATACCGCTCTTGCGCAATTGCATTTCACTGATCCAAATAAGCTGAATGTGAAAACTCGAACTAATCTGAATCTGAAAAGGGAGATACCATTCTTTTTAGCACCGAGTCAGCAAGAAAAACATGGATTAGCTAATGTGTTGAATTCATTAAAATCAACTGAGTATCTCAGCATGGCATCGGTAATGAGAATTGCAACGGCAACGCTACGTGGGGAAAATGTTTCGTGGAAACTAGCCCTTTCCCTTGTTTCGAAACATCGAGTTGTGAAGGATTCGAATGAACTGTTTGCCAAACTGATCGGAGTCTGTTGTCCGCAAAACTGGTTAGTTGCTCTTGATTATTTTGAGTTGAATGGGAAAACCGCCTTGTGGCTTGCTTCATGTCAGAGTTGGAAAGCAGGTTTAATATTGGCGCAATCAAACCTGTTACCAAGTCGTGAGGCATACGATATTCTGAGTCGATCTGTCATTCCCAACACAGAGTCAAGAAAACTTATTACTGTCACTGGAGCGAGTAGACGAATTGATAGTCCCAGCAAAAAGGCAATTGCCGCATCGCTAGCGAGCGGATATCTTCTTGAGGAAATTCAGTTGAGTCCGTTTTCGAAGGCCTGCCATCGCACAGGAGATTGGGAGTCTGCTTTGTTCCTCTTTAATCGCATTGGCACAAATGAATTTCAGCGGCGCGCCATTTCCTCTCTTTTAGAATCCTGTCCAAATATTACGATGGAGCAGGTACTTGGACTGGTGAGTACACGTCACCCTGCGAGCATTTCAACAACCTCCATGATGATAAAACACTCCAATAGTTGGCTTCAGGCTCTAAATATTATGCGTCACGTAATGGCACGGGGGGGGCGATGTAATCCGCAGGTGCTGAGCGCCTTTATGGATCTCAATCCACCGTTTAGTGTTCTCTCGCAGGTACTCAAAAAACTTAAGCATGCGACAAATGAAGGTATTCGTCGTCGTCTCAAGTCACTGGAGAATGATGGCTTGTCTCGGTAATGGGTGAAAGTGTGTGTGCAGAGTAAGTCTCTAATTTTGAGACAACACATATTTTGCGTCTTGTCCTTTATAACTGTCTCTGACAGTGACTCAGGTTTAGATTAATGAAAAGAAACAAAGGAACAAAAAAAGACAACCAACTATAAATGTTTTTTGTTTTGTTTTTGTTTCTCACTGTCCTTGCGGTTTTTTTGTTTGTTTTTTGAGTTTATGCTGGTAACAAAAGTAAAGTTTGCTGTGTGACAATTCAAATCATGCTCACTGTAACCAAATTGCCGACAAGGCCATTCTTCGATCAGAAGCCGGGGACATCGGGGCTGCGCAAGAAGGTTAAGGTGTTCCAGCAGGAGAATTATCTCTCGAACTTTATTCAAAGTACTTTTAATGCCATAAGGAAGCACGGGATAACGCCTGACACCCTTGTCTTGGGTGGTGACGGACGGTACTTTCTCGCTGAAGCTATTCAAACCATCATCAAAGTGGCTGCCGCCAATGGGGTATCAAATATTTGGGTGGGAAAAGATGGTATTTTATCGACTCCTGCTGTGTCAAATATTATTCGTCACCGAAGGGTTGGCAATACTAGGGCGAAGGGAGCCTTTATCCTCACAGCAAGCCATAACCCTGGTGGCCCTGAGGAGGATTTTGGTATCAAGTACAACACAGAAAACGGAGGGCCTGCTCCAGAGAAAATTTCATCTGCTATTTACGAAGAAACCATTAGAATTGATCATGTACTTATCTGTCCCAATCTTGGCCCTGTAAATGTGTCAGAAATGGGTGAACATGTTTTTGACACATTGAAGGTTTCGGTAATCGACAGCACGGAAGATTACGTACAGTATATGAAGAAAATCTTTGATTTTCAAAGCATTCAAAAGCTGCTGCATCGACCCGATTTTAAGATCCGTTTGGACGCTTTACATGGTGTTGGGGGTCCGTATCTAAAGAAAATTTTTGTTTCCGTTTTTGGTCTTCCAGAAAGTGTCTTGTGTGGTGCTACCCCATTGCCTGACTTTGGGAAGCATCATCCGGATCCAAATCTCACCTACGCGAAGGAGCTGGTGACTGCCATGGGAATGGATTCAACTGGAACACCTCTTGCCGACGTTGTTGGTGAGGTACCAAACTTTGCGGCGGCCTTCGATGGGGATGCGGATCGCAGTATGATTCTGGGCGAGCGCTTTTTTGTGACTCCATCCGATTCACTGGCGATTTTTGCTGCAAATGCCAATGTTGTGCCGTTTTTTGCTCAGCAAGGTGGAGTTAAAGCGGTGGCGCGATCTATGCCAACGAGTGGAGCTATCGACCGTGTTGCTGAAGCGCGTCACTTCAAACTTTTTGAGGTTCCTACAGGTTGGAAATTTTTTGGAAATCTGATGGACAGCCAAGATTTATTTGGAGGCGAAAATTACAATCCCCTCGTTTGTGGGGAGGAAAGCTTTGGCGCTGGCAGCAACCATATACGTGAGAAGGATGGCGTGTGGGCGGTGCTGTTTTGGCTTTCAATCATTGCAAGCAAAAACGTGGATTCATCAAAGCCCCTTGTAGGGGTAAAAGAGATTGTTGAAGCCCACTGGAGAGAGTACGGACGGAACTATTACTGCCGGTACGACTACGAAGACGTGACGGAGGAGTCTGCCAAGGCTGTGATTGGAAGCGGCGCAGAAGCAGCGCCCTCAGGACATCCCCACATTACAAGGAAAACGATGCGTCAAAGTTGACAACTTTGAGTACCACGACCCTATCGACGGTTTGGTTTCCAAGAATCAAGGCGTTCGTGTGCTCTTTGAGGATGGTTCTCGCTTCATGCTTCGCTTAAGCGGAACTGGATCATCGGGCGCCGTCATTCGCGTATACATGGAACAGTACATGGATCCTCAGGCAGTGGCGCAGCATATCCATGACGGCACTTTGCCAACTGCTTGTTCTGCGTTGGCTGAGCTTATTGCCGTCGCCTTGAAGGTGGCGCGGATTTCGGAGCTTACAGGACGTGACACCCCCACAGTCATCACTTAAGCCGTAACATAAGTGGAAGTGGAGGAGCAATGAAATGCTATTTTTATGTTGTTGAATGAATTTTTATTTATTTATTTATTTATTTTTTGGTTTTTATTTTTCCCCAAGACTTTGTTTTAGTGTTGGCTTTATTATTGTTACCCGATGTTGGAGTGGGGGCTTAGCAGCATAAATTTGAAATGCCCTCTTGAGGTCACGGAAGCTTTCCTGGTAGGACTTGCATCTGCAGCGAGGGAAGGAGATGTCTAGCATGCGGGAATGTTGTGTGTCGATTGCACTGTTCAGAGCCATTTCCCATGCGCTTCATCAGTGCAGTATTCGTCGGTCACGCTAAAGATGATTGCAACGAGGGGAAGAGGAAATGAAAAATTAGGAGGCAAAATAAAACAATCTGGAATCAGCTTTTTCGGTAGGAATGTGCGTCTGTTGGATTATATATATATATATATATACTTATATAAATCTGCCAATTTTTGTTGCACACGGCAGCAACACAGCAATAATAATAATAATCCTTGTGCTGTGGATCCTTCTTGAACTTGTGCCCTCTTCTTTGTTTGGTGGTGCCCTCCAGCTTTATCCCGATTTGCTTCCCCCCTCCTCCTCCTCCTCACGGTGGACGTAATGTGCGTGTTCATACCATTGTCATTAATCTAATCTATATAAATATATATATATTTATATGAGGGTGAGAGTGGTGCAGCGGACCTTTGACGTCTTTACCACGGCTGTCCATGCAATGCATCGTTCACTTGGATATGGACTGCTTTTACGCCCAGGTGGAGGCAGTGCGACTTGGCATTGACTGCCGCACGGAACCCTACATTCTCTCTCAGTGGGGAAATTTAATTGCTGTTAACTACCCCGCACGAAACTACGGCATCGCGCGCTTCAACACGGTGGAAGAGGCTCGGGAAAAGTGTCCCCAGGTCAAGGTCTCTCACGTCGCTACCTACGCAGTGGGGGACACAGAGTATGGGTACCACGCGCACCCGCGCAAAGGGACACACAAAGTCGCCTTGGAGCCCTACAGGGAGGCTAGCCGCAGGATCTTTGACATCCTTCGCAGCTTTGAAGGGGTGGGGGTGGAAATAAGCAGTATCGATGAGGCCTACCTGGATGTGACTGCAGCCGCTCAGCAGGAGCTGGTGTCCGCCGGTCTGCCCCGTACACCACGTCCGCCCTCGCTAGAGGACATCTTGCACCCCGCAACGAACCTCATTACCGACCGACAGGCAGAGATAGACGCATGGCTTCACACGAGGGGGAAAAAATTTCACGACGTCTTTGACACCGCCCTGCACCCACCGGCCACCGTGGAGCATCAACTTCTTCTTGGCGCGGCGTCGCGCGTCGTGTGGAACATGCGTCAGCGAATATATCAAGAACTTCACTACGAATCCTCCGCCGGCATTGCACACAATAAAATTCTAGCCAAAACAATCTCATCACGGCACAAGCCCAACCAGCAAACATTACTTCTACCAGACCGTGTTGCCTCTGCGATGTGGGACATTCCTTGCGGCTGCATTCGTGGCTTTGGTGGAAAGTTTGGCGACGCCGTTTGCCGCGCATGTGGCGGCGCCGAGTTGTGCCGCGATGCATGGCTGATTCCGTTGCAAGCTTTACAAGCCGTACTTGGCAATGACGAGGGTGCGTACGCCTTCCAACGGCTGCGCTGCTACGACAAGGAGGCCATACGAGAACGGTCCGTTGCAAAGACGTTAATGGCGTCAAAGTCCTTCAGTCCCCCCACTTCCAGCGCAGTGGGGTTGCGAAAATGGGTGACCGTACTTGCTAGTGAGCTCTGCACACGTTACAAAGAATTCTGCGCGACTAACAACGTCACAGGCCACACGTTCAATGTGAAACTCGGAAACCGCGGCCTCAGCCAGCTCGGCGGGGTGACGGACAAGACGCTGGCCTTGCCGGAGCCGGTGACGACGGAGACGCTAATCGTCGCCACAATGAAGATTGTGACGACAACGTTTTGCAGTTGCGCTGGTGCACTCATAAACGCCGTGACGCTCACCATTGGCTCCTTTAAGCAAGTCTCAGTCGGGGAAGGAAAAAGGCGTGGACGGCAGATGATGTTAACGGCGTTTTTATCATGCAAGGGTACTGAGAAGCGTCGACGAAGTGATTGTAACGAGGCCACGGTGATAACGCTTTCTTCTGCCTCCTCCTCATCAGAGGTTTTTGTTGAAACAGAGAGCTGCGGCCAGGAGGTGGTTATCATTGATTGAGACTGTGATGTTTCACAGACGCCGTATTGCTTGCAGGCTCCCATCCTCCCAATGTCCCGCTCGGGTGTGAACGAAAGGCGCAGTTGGACGTGCACAATACTCTCTTCTTCACCACCTATCGATCTGTCCATGCGTAGTGCATACCACCTATTTTATCTTTTTTCTTTTCTCTCTCTATCCCCTACACACACACGCACATTGACTTTGAAGTGTTTTGTCCTGACGACTAGCATGAGCCTCTACAACTGGGAGACCACGTCCTGTGCCCGCCGCGGCAAGGTGAAGAAAACGGGAATTGTCGTCCTACACGCCAATGACGCTGTAGATGTTGCTTTCGATGCTTTGCAGAAGGAGTGCCCGCTCAGCCGGGACGACCATCCCTCTCCAGACGCTGACTCAAAGCAAGAGAGGAGGAAAGCGCCACTAATGACCGCCGCAACGGCGAAGGCCTTGGTGAAGAAAATGGGGTTCACCAGCCTCTTGCCGTGTCAAGCGCAGTGCTACCGCGGCATCTTCAATCGGCGCGACGTCATCCTTCACAGCCGCACAGGAAGCGGCAAAACATTGGCGTATGCGCTGCCAATCATTGAGCGACACACGATATTGGAGACGCACGCCGCTGCGGCCGCAACCGGCCCATTTCTGCTAATCTTCGTCTTCAGTAACGAGCTAGCCGTGCAGACCAAAGGCGTTCTTAAGCGGCTTTACCCCAAACTGCACATTTGCGTCGCAGGATTCGAGGATCTTACCGCTCAGAGGTGCGATATCGTGATTGGCACCGTGCCCTCCATGGATGGGGCAATCCGAGGCATGCAGCACGATGACATCCAGAAGGGTCTGAAGCGAAGGCGCCAGCACGAAGGCGAGACGGAAGATGCTGAAAACGAGGATGCAAGTGACGACGAGGAGGAAGGTCAGAGCAACGACGCTGAAGAGGCCTCAGCGGCGGGTGCAGTGGACCCCTCTGACGTCCGTGCGATTGTGATAGACGAGGTGGACCTGACGCTTGGCCCCCGCTTCTCCAATATTGGGCGGCGCATGCGAAACCTCCTCAAGTTTATTCGCAAGGCCAATGGTTCTTTGACGGATGGCCTAATGACGGATTTTCGTTCCCACCATTACGTCCTCTGTGGGGCGACCATCCCAAACTGGGTGCTGAAGGCCGGCTTTCTGGGCGTGAAGAAGTACTACTACCAACTTGTGACTGTTGGCACAGCCAAGCTTCCTGAAAATCTGGAATGTTTTACGATGCATTGTCCCTATACATCTCGCGTGGAAACGGCGGTACGTCTGCTTGCCGAGGAACGTTTTGGCCGCACAGTGGTCTTTGGCACCAGGCGACAGATTGAGCGGTTGGAGGCTGTGCTCCTGGCCAAGCAACTGGGGCTGTCCTTTCGCTCGCTAAGCCCATCAAAGGATGAGCTTGACAGGATTACCGCACTGGAAGACTTCAACGGCGGCTGCGCCGCTGTCATTCTCTGCACTGATCTCGCAGCCCGCGGCCTGGACTTTGTGGGCGTCGATGTGGTGCTGATGCTTTCTTTGCCAACGCATAACATGTCCGTGGAGACGTTTGTGCACCGTGCCGGCAGGACGGCGCGCGCCTCCCACAGTGGCAGGTGCCTTCTGCTGCAGGATGAAAGAGAGAAGGACACGCTTGAGGCCATCCGTAAAAGCGCACACGCCATCTTCAAGGTGTACCTTCCGCGCGGTGTGGCGGCGCCAAGTGCGGAGACGGCCGCGCCGACCAAAAAGAAAGCAAAGTCCCTTGCAGCAGCAGAAGCAGCCGGAACAACACCGACAACCGTCACGTTTGAACTGATAGTGAGGAATCCGTTCAGGTACACCAGGCCCACTGCCCAGGTGCCTTCGGCGCTGGATGTGTTGAAGAAAAATATTGGCGAGCTTTTTGCAAACGTCAGCAACGTCGTTGAGGACTCCGGTCGCGAGACCGTAACCTTCGCCTACCCCGCAGACGCATCGCACGAGGTAAGGCAGAAATTGTGGAAGTTTGCACTGAAGGAAATTGACCCCAGCCAAGGGTTGTGATTGCATATATATGAGCAAGTAGGGTAAAGAAAGGGGACAAAAATATGGAAGCTGCGCCCTAAGCAAGGAAGTGGAAAAAAAAAAGTGAAGAGAGGGAAAGGGAGGTTGGTAGTGGAGAGGGGATGCATTGTTTCCAATTTTCCTTTTTTTTTTTCTTCCTTTTCTTTTCGCTAATATCTGGTTTTTGTGTGTCTCTGCTGCAGAGCATACACATCGCCGGTAATGTGGTGGGCGAGACGCGTTTAAGACAATAAAAAAAAAAAAAAAGAACAATAGTCAGAGGACGCAGAGGAGAAAGTTTTATTTGAGGGAGTGGGATAGAAGGTCTTGTGTGGGGTGAATGCAGCTTGGATGGGTTTACGATACGATATTCACTTCTTCTTCTGTTGTGGTTTTGTTAGTTCTCCCACCGCCTGTCGTAACCATAGACGTAGGATTTGTGTGGAAGGAATAGTGATGAAACGGTGCATCGTGGCGAGGTGTGCGGCGCAGCTGGCCGTGGCTTTGCGAGAGGTTGTTCGACACGCCCCCGCCTCGGGCATTCCTTTGGCGGAGCTCGAGGCAGAACTCAAGGAGTGCATGCAAGCAGCACCAACAGAGGCCGAGGTGCCGGAGCCCGTCTCGTCCTGGCGGAGGGCGCTGCCGGAGGTGAACGCTACGCACTTTGTCAGCAGGGCTGCGTTGTACCCCTGCAACTGGGAGGAGACGATGCGGAGGGTTGCGGCTGCCATACCGCATGAAGGGGTCACAGAGAAGGAGCTTGTTGAGGGAATCGTAGAAGAGGAGCCACGCTTTTTGCCTGACGTTTCTCTTGGCGAACCCGTCTCCAAATGGATCCAGCGTCGCTTCCCACATATTATTTGGGTGTCTCGATCGGCGGCGAATGGGACTCCCATCTACCGCGCCGTGGGAGAACCATTATCACCCGAGGCGGAGTGCATCACCAGGGTGCTGCAGCTGCTGGGTCGCAGGAAACTTCCTGTGTATACAGATGTGAATCTCATTGTCCCGCTCCTCCCCGTCTCTATGAGCCCCGAGAAAGGGAAGTGGCTGCGCTTCTTTGAGCACGAGACGGTGCGGCGACACTTTGACGTGGACGTGGAGGCGTTTGTTCGTCTCTCACCTGACCGATCTCCTTCTACCGTATTTGTAGACGCCACAAGTGTGGAGGTGACGCAGGTTGATGCAATTTTAGCGGGGAAGGGCATCCTTGACTCCCTCTGCGTTGTTAAGTTGTTCCGCCGTCCAGACGGCCCTGCGTGGTCTGCCGAGGATGTCATTGTGCAAAGCTTCCTGGAACCGGAGCATGCCATTGGTGCGGCGATTGCCTCTATGGAGAGGAGGAATGACGTGAGGGTGTACGTCCTCTGCGGTGATGGAGCAAAGGAACGGTATAAGGCGGCACTGGACGATTTGCTGGGGCAGGGGGATACGATGGTTACCATCTGCACGCCAACCAACGACGAGGTGGTCTCCGCGAAGAAGCGGTAGAGGTGTGAAGCAAATGGGCGGGGTGAAAGAGAACAAAAAAAAACAGTTATAACGGAAGGACAAAAGGCGGAAAACAAAAAAAAACAATGCAAGAAGGCGACGAGTAAATAGTTTTGCTTTTATTTATTTGTTGTTCCCTGGAGGAGAGGTTGGGTTAATGACACGCGAGGCATTCTCTATGACTGTATCGCGCCTTACTTTTCGTTTGGCTTATGCCGCCGTCATCCAGCCGCCCCTTCCTGCACTTAACTGTCATTGCCTGGTTCTTGTAGCTCAGAGAGTTGGCGGTATTTTTCCCTTCTTGCTACGGGTGTATATGCATGTATGTGTGCAGGCAGACACGGTTAAATGTCTCTTGGGCGCGCTCACCATTCTCGTTCCCTCACCCCCCTGCACCAGCGTCAGGGGCATTACTTCACGCACGGGAAATAATGTGAGGGTTTTTCTTGACGGCAGGCAGAGGCGGCAAGGAACAAAACGGTGATGAGGCCACTTCAACGCGCCATCCCCGAATTCAGAGAAAAACTGAAAAGGTTACAACGCGCTTGGGTGTTGTGGACCACAGTGCCTTTTACTAAAATTGGGCGCCATGGGCCGTCATTGCATACGACGAGCCTTGGAACGCGCAAATTCTCACAACGACTTCTGCTCTTGTGCACCCACGGTGCGAAGTCTCCGCTCGGAGCCACGCCTGCACCATGCATAAAAGAGAAGCAAAAAACAAAACTAAAAGGAATCAAAAGCACGGAGGCCCGACATAGCGGCCGGTGAAGGCATTCCCCACTGGCTCGTTGAGGCGGGAAGGGTCACGGTGCCTGGGAAAAGTGGGGGGAACGAAGTGGTTGCCGCGCGTCCACGCAACACGGCAGTAAAACTAGACCCCACGATGAGGTGCCTGACCATCACAGGCGGAAAGACATTATTGGCAACGAGAACTGTCCAAATTTGTTTCCTTTTACTTTCTCTTTCCCTTTTATTCTTTTTTTTCATATGCAAGCTTTTCCTCCCCTGCCTGATGGACGCGTTTCAGGAGAAACTAGATGCCCTGCAGAAGCAGTCAAAGGAGCAAATCATGGCGGCCGTAGCAGCGCTGCAGCACGCGTGTGGAGAGGGCGTGCAGCCTCTGCGAATTGCCGTGGCGATTGGTAACCGGCTAACCCCCGGCCAGGTCTCGAACTCCTTTCCTGTCATTTGCCTCATTGATGCGATGACAATAAGGCAAGAAGAGGCGTGTGTTGTGGCGGTTTTAGAGGAATTCTGGCGGATTGCACCCTCTCTGTTTGTCAACTTCGCCGCGGCAGACGAGGCGCTGCAGGAGAAGGTGTCTCGTGCGGTGAAGCGTTGGGGTGGGAAGAAGGTGCTCTCCGCGTCGTGTGGGGAAAGACTGCTGCGATGCATCAACGGAAAGGAGACGACAGAAGTTGATTTCGAGGCGGCGCGCCGCGCGGCGGTTGACAACGCTAATACTGCTTCTCAGGCTTCATCGCACTCAGGCATCGCGGTGAATGAGGCGCGGAAGGAGGAGTTCTCGCGAGCAGAGGTCTCTGGCTTCTGTGCGATCTTACAGAGCTGCATAAAGATGATTGAACGACTTCCGCCGCACCGCGCCAGTATGTACCTGGAGGTGGCTCGGAAGGAAAAGTTGCTTCGCACCCCGTCAAAGTCTGCCCTGCTCTTCTTTCAAGGCCTGCACGCCGAGCTGAGCCGGGAGTCCGCGATGTACAACAGCAACCTCGTGAAGAGTGAGCACCAGGCCACCCCCGAGGCGGGCGGGAGGGTCGACCCCAAAGCCGCGCTTGGAAACCTCCTCGATAAGCTTTCCAAGGAGCAGAGCTTCACCGCGGAATCGGCGACCGTGGCGGCTGGTGGCCACCACGACCCCACGTTCAATGTCATACGTTACGCGTCGCCCATGCAGTCTGACATTTTTCAGCGCCTTTCGGTGGCGCAGCGAGCCGGATTCGGTGAGTGGCACCGGCGAACAAAGAATGAGTACCACTACCCGAAGGAGGGCAGCAGTCGAAGGGTGTTCCGCGCCCCGGCTGGCTCCCTGGCAGGAACACGAGCCTGGTTTCCTAGCGAGCAGCAGTGGATTGGCGAGAATGACATGGCGGCACTGAGGTTATGGGTGCCGAAGGAGACAGGCCACGAAAGGGAATCATCCAGCGTATACGACGTTGCGCGAAAACGCGAACGCGATGCCTGATTGTGGGTTTGCGTGGATCTGTTGCCGCGTATCTTTGCTTAGGTGCACGTGCATGATGCAACCCGGTGAAGAGGAAGGAGAAAAACTAGGAGGTAGGAATTGCATCCACCGACACGTCATCTTCTTTTGAAGGTGATGAAAAGAGAAACATTCATACGAGTAACGTTGTTGCATTTCTACATGTGTATGTGCATATATTTTGGAATATGCGCATGTATCTCTAATGGGCGTTTTTGTGATATTATGTCTCCGTATCGCGTTTTTTTTTTTGCTGCCTCTATCTCTCTTTATGTTTATATATATATAAATGGTTAGAAAGGGGTTTCGTGGACACGCGGATGCATAGCTTGACAAGAGGCCAACAGGCGGTGAATGAGCTTCACGTGTTTCTACGGGCAATGAGTGGGGCACAGAGGCAGTGGGCAAAGCGGATTGCCGCGCAGGAGGCCAAAGTGCGGCGCTTTATGATTATGGAAGACAACTGCCGTAAAAAGCTCCGGAGGAGCGTATTCCGCTCTACCAATGACCAACTAAAATATTTGGTGAATACGGATCTGCTTGGGAGCATGGAAATGAAGCTCCCACCGCGTGCCGCATTCAACGTATTCTGTATTCCCACAAGGCAGCTGAGCGGGTTTTCCGTCTTTGCCATGGCGCGTCTCCACGCTTCCACCGCCTCGCTGTCAGACGTTTCGAAGATTGGTATTATCGCCGATCTTCTCGGAGCATGGGAGGTTCTCCCGCCCTCCAAAAAGGAGCGGTACGAGACATACGCAGAAAGCATTAGGCGCGACCTCGTCGCAGGTGACGCTACCAACCATGACCCCCGAAAATCCTCAACATCACCCGGTAAAGAGGAAGATGATCATGATGATGCCGGCTGGGAATCTCGTGCATACCGCTGCTTTCTCCACGAGGGACGGCGACTGCTGGAAGTGTCGGTGGGTCCACTTAAAGAGGCGGATTGGCTGGCGCTTGCACTGAAGGAGTGGAATAGTTTAACCTTGCGACAGAAGAAGCGCTACGCTCAGAGATAGGCGTGCAGGATAAGAGGCGGTAACCGGGTTGTGTAACCTGGGGAGAAATTTGCCTGTTTGTTTTTGCTTTTGCAAGCTTGTGAAAGGGTTGCTTGAGACTTACATTGGCTGCTTAGAATCATTAATGTTTTCCCACACCAATCATTCTGTATGGCTTTGCACAAAATATAGGATTCTAATGCCATGTAAACGTCACACGCAAGCCTATTGGTCTTTGACGGCGTTGATCACGGGGCGTTTCCATCACGCCCTTCTGCGGTACAGTCGACCAGCCGTAGGGACGCTCACAGCTGAATGGTCCAACGGCTTTTTTACCCCACTTTTGCTTGGTGCATTCCCTGCAATTGAGTTGCCATTGTTGGTAGCCCTTGAGCCGTGGGCGAAGCAACAAAAGAAAAGAAGAAAAAGGATTTTGCCTCTCTGTGGCATTCTCTAGCGTCTTTTGTCATGCCAACGGGCCGGGAGTCCGCCTGGGCACTTGGCGGTGCACCGTCGGTCTTTTTGTAGTGAATAGCCGGCCCTCGGGGAGGGCGCACCGGGGTGACCCCACTCGCAATAATGCGTCTGGGCCCCCATTGGCGGACGAAGGCTTCCGCGAGCAACGGCGTGCCCGCGTTCAGGCCCAGGCGGTGCGGCATCGGCTGGGAGGGGTGCCAGCCGTTGCCTTGCCAGGGAGCTGCTCGGGCAGAACGTTTGAGCGGCACGTAGGCGCACTTGCGTGATGCATGTGGGGCGGGCGGTTTTATGCCCGCAGTGCGGCCTCGCGACGAGCGGTGGAAAAACACATCGCGGGCAC